TCGAATTGCGAAATTCGATATTTTCATCGATATTTCGTCAAACCAAGTTAGCAAAACAAAAATATAATTTTTTCGAAAGATAAAAGGAATCAAAGAGAGATCTAAAATAAAATAAAAAAAAAATTACAAAATAACAAAGTAAATATCTTTGTGAAAAAATTTTCATTTTTTCCTCCCCGATAAACACATTTCCCCCGATCGTTCGATTGATTAAAACTGATTGGACGAATTAAAACGAATAAACCATAGTTAAACGGGGATTTTACCATCCCCAATTTTGTAACATTTCGCATAAGCCGCGCATACTGGCCTCTCTTATTTGCTCTTGCGTGGTCTGCGGCGCACACGTCTCGCCACATGTGCCCGCATGTGCACACAACCTGCAACCCCGGGACAGCATTATGCATTTGTCGCATGTGTGCTCTGCCTTAACCTAATGACCGGCTCCGCCTGATCGATTCGTGGGTAAACGAAATTAAATACTTTGGACAGCGTTAATAATTTAAAGATCCTAATACGGATGATCCTAATACAATCATGTTATTTTTATTTTTTATTTCAATTCAGAATTTCCTTCTTTTACGAAAATAAACGAACGAACAAGATACTCGTAGAAATGTAGAAAATAGAGAAATTTTTATTTTTGGAATGGGATAGATTTGGATAGAAGTGGAATAGAAGCGAAAGAAGCTTCGAGCTTTGGTATTTTGGCTTTTGTCGATAAGATCGAAAAATAGATCGGAATTGAAATTTAACGAATAAAAAGATTAATCCAAGAATTATTCCATGATTATTGTAATTCAGAGAGTTGCGCGTTTCGAAACTATAATTAACTTCATCGATCCTATTTATCGTAATATAATATATGAAACGCTATTGTAATTGGAGCGTGCATTGCGCAACGATGTTATAATAGATAGGGAAACAATGATCGAAACGAAACCTTTGATCATTTGTTATACCATGTTACAGATTCAGTAGAGTGTTAGCGGTTAGAACGATGTGAGAGGAATATATGGGTGAACGCCAAACGAGCAAGGAAGGCTGGACGAAATCACGAACACGTGGCGAGACGTGAAGCGGGGTGAGTTACATCTTAACTCTTTTGGCCATCGATTCTTCTAACGATCAATCCAATATTACGATTAGATAAGATAAAACTTAATTTTAGATTAATAAGATATACAATTTTTCTAACTAAAAATTATTAACAAATTCTTAAAATTTATTATCTTTGAAGAAATCATATTGAATTAAATTATCTGTTTATTACAAAAATTGCTGTAATGTGAATTATTAAGTGGAAAAACAAGAAGGGAGAAAATAGAGGAAAAAAAGTGATGATCTTTGAGAACTGAATCGAGTGCACTTTATTAATCTTTAAACGGTTAAAGGGCCGAGATATACCGTAGCAGAATCATGGACTATACATCTTAGACGGTACATTAGCCAGATTCGTGTCGCGAAAAAAAATTGGATTCTGGGACGAAAGTTGGCCAGGGGCTATCGGTCGTTGTAGCTCGAGAGAGTGGAGATAAACGACCGACGGCATTCGGATAAATAAAATTCCCCCGGCTGTTCCATCGAGGTTGGAATTTTCTCGTTTTAACCGGCCGTGTGTGCACCGTTGGATTTCGGCTCACGTATCTTAACAGAGAGACCACGAATAAAGAATAGAAAGCATGGTGACCGGGGAAGGACATCGTTTTGACGAGTAGCTGTCTCTCGGAAAATCAACTCATTCTTCCTCGAAAAAATGGAATCGATGGAAAAAGAGAGAGAGAGAGAGAGAGAGGAAAAAGTAAAAAAAAAAAAAAAAAAAAA